TCCACTCATACTGCCTGCCTTGTGGGAATAAATGTAGGTTATTATTGACAGTCTATGACCATATTATTGTAACTGAATTTCTAGTTTTACTGTCAATCACGTGAATATCTCTCAAGTGAGCATGGGAAGAGTAGGATATTGTCACAATAAAAGTCCCTAACAATTCTAACTATTTCGAAAGTATGCAATCCATTTTTATCTAGGGTTAGCCTGTGGCTGTTGATTGAGACATGTATTTTAGCATCTGATGATGGATATTAGAACATATGTATTTTCTCTTTTACAAGCCCACAATGTGTAAACTCTAATTGATTTCACTTATGTGGAAGCTGGTGTTTTCTTTCTAATTAGGTTCAATAAATAGCACAATAATACTGCTTGCAGCCTGTTAGTTATTAGTATTTGCATGTTAGTTATTATGTTGTGCATAACCTATTCAATTTAGTGTATTTTGATATAATGGGATAATACTGGAAGGATCAATGAAGAAATCAAGTGCACCTCTGTGTGTGTTCCTGCGTCAGTGCGTGTGTATTACAGTGTGTGTCCTTAGTGTAACAGAAAGGACAGAGTGGGATGATGAAGATATTGTGAGACTGTGAGTCTGAGGACAGGATGCAGAAGTGAGTTTAGAAAGTGTGAGCCCAGCTATGAGAACCATATGTTTCTTAGCGCTTGATGAGAGTATGGTTGTCCTATGGTTATTTTGCATACAATCTTCCCACAACATTCTGTGCAGGACACCCAGCTAGCACATAACATTCTGAGAACCATATGTAAAAAAAAACATATCATTCCAGCTCCATCCTGGTGGCGCAGTGGATTCATTCCATGGATAGAAAACATTACATAATAGGTTCAAATCTCACTGAGGCCGTGCCACAATAATAAATACATGTGTTTGCATGATTAATAAAAGTGGCAATCCACTATTAACACTGCGATGGAAGTCCATATCTGCATCCCAAATGATTCCCTTTAGACTGCACTACTTTTGACTAGAGCCCTGCTATAGGCCCTGGTCAAAAGTAGTGCACTAGAAAGGAAATATGGCTCCATTTGGGCACAACCCATTGTCCTGGTGTGATGATCAGGCAGAGCAGACAGGTAGACAACAGGTAGGCAGGTAGGGTAGATAACAGGAGAGCTGTGTTGGAGAGACAGGCTGAGCTGACAACATGGACAATCTAAACCCCTAAACTGGAGAGATAAGTAAGTCAACCACAGAGGCAGTCCTAACACACAGAGCCAGATAAATTATATTGTACCAGAAATATATTTATACTTCTTAACGCATGCATGTGCGTGCGTGTTGCTCTGTGTGTGTGTGTGAGAGACAGATGGAGAGAGAGAACCCTGTTTGTAGATGCTCATGTTTTAAACCAGAACCAATGTTGCCAACTTTGCTCCTTCTCTTTTAAGAGTTTGAGGCCTAAATTCCATGTCTGCTACACCCTATGAAAGTCTTATTCCCCCCCCCCATTTTATTATTTCTGGAGAACACACAGACAGGGCTAGAGCAGCAAAGCCCCAGCCTCAGGCCTGTATTCCCATTCCACACACCCCATAAGTCACTCACAGATAATTAAATAGGAGTTATTTACATTCACTTCTCCTCCTCTGCCCCTCAGACCCTTTATCATTCTACTCTCTGTGCCTGCAGGATACAGTATGTGCATCCCAAATGACACCCTATTCCGTACTTAGTGCACTGCTTTTGACCAGGGCCCATATTTGTGAGAGGTATCGACATGTTGAATGCACAGAGCTGTCTGTTTGAACTACTGGCACACAGCTCGGACACCCATGCATACCCCACAAGACATGCCACCAGAGGTCTCTTCACAATCCCCAAGTCCAGAACAGACTATGCGATGTGCAAGGTACTACATAGAGCCATGACTACATGGAACTCTATTCCACATCAAGTAACTGATGCAAAATACACCTTATGGAACAGCAGGGACTGTGATGCAACACAAACATAGGCACAGACACATGCATACACACACACACAATAACATACGCACTATACACACGTATACATGGATTTTGTGTTGTAGATATGTGGTAGTGAAGTAGGGCCTGAAGGCACACACTTAGTTTGTTGTGAAATCTGTTGTGAATGTATTGCAATGTAAAAAAATTTTTAGAACTGCCTTAATTTCACTGGACCCCGGCAGCTAATGGGGATCCATAATAAATACAAAAACAGGGCTTTGGTCAAAAGTAGTGCACTATGTAGGGAATACGGTGCCATTAGGGATGCAGACAGTAAACTACACTCAGTCAGTGGTTTCTCTCCATTTACACTCCATTGATACAATCAGAGGGCTATAGAAATGGACATGGTCTGAAAACAAACTGAAAACCCCTTGAAATATGGACTGAACTACAGCATCTTCCTTTACAACTTAACTATCACACAAGATGTCAATTGAGAATGAACATCCTCACATGTGCCTCAAACTTTATTTTACTCTTACAAGAAGTAGGTCTACAATTGACAGGATGAGCAATCCATTTACTCTAGTGGTTTGAAATATTCAGCTGATCTACATTCTGTATATCACTAAACTCAAGTGAGTCAAACACCAGCCTTTGACCACTTAAATGAATAAGGCCTCCATTTTACATGTTAGCAGATGCTCTTATCCTCTTATCCTTGCTCAAGGGCACATCAACAGATTTTCCCCCTAGTTCACCTAAGGGATTCGAACCAGCGACCTTTCGGTTACTGGCCCAAAACTCTTAACCGCTAGGCTACTTGCCGCCCTAGGCATCCATTACAGGCCTCAGTGGGTCTATAAATCACAGGTCACAGACAGAGGATGACAGGACAAGGCGTTTTGTTAGGCTGCTGTTCTAGTAAAGACCTCTTGCTTTGATATGGCCATGCAAAGGCAAATGCTTCCAGGGCCGGCCAAAGGGATTTCTACTGCTGAGCGCCCTCTTGATGGGAAACCCGCCCCTTAAATATCAACAACAGGAAATGGCCATCAGTCACCAACATGCCACAACAGCTGTAACCAGCCCAACTTCAATGCAAGACATGAAAGGAGCTGCTCCCCATTGTTTCAGCCCTCCCCTTCTTTCTTTCTCTCGCTCTTTGTGTCTTTTTCCTCTCTTGCCCTCCTCCAGGTCTCCCTTTTACCCCCCCCTCCCCCCTTCTTTAACCTGCCCCTCCCACACACCCAAAATGTACCCTTTCTCTCAACCAACTGACCCGCTTGCAAATGGAGAACTGAGTTACATGTATGTCAGTGAATGACTTGCGTTATATGCATGGCACGTTTCCTCATGAAATTACACGAACGCTTTAGATCAGCACTAGACACTGAATAAAAATCGATTTGAAGTTCATGCTATTCTTGCCTGCTTCGTGGCCTACTCTTGAATTGGCTTTGTGTTGTGAACATAATAACCAACCTGCGTATGCGTCATCTGTTTGTACAGCTTTCATCACACGGTTGAGACAGAATAAAACAAACACACACAGACAGACAGACACATTGAAAATGAAGATCACATCACACTTAACCCCGAGTACATCTGCATTCACATGTTCTTGGATCTGGGAAGGTTATTCAAGCGTTCGCTGCAGTGTGTAGGTGATAAGTGACGGCTAAGCCTAATGATGACAGGTCAAACAGCGATCCTGTTGAGTGAGGCAGAAGAAGTGACTTCATCTAATCACCCCCAGCCAGCCAGCCAGCCAGCCAGCATCCCACTCCCTTTCCTCTTAACTGAAGATGAATGGCATTAGTCATTATAGTTAAGGACTACACTGCTGACAGCACTTGATAAGCTTTGTCACACTTTTTATGTCCCATAATGCGACATAAAAAGTGTGACAGAGCTTATCAAGCTTATAATGGGCCATTATGACACATAAGCAGCACAGGAAAAGCCCTTATGTATTGTTCTCTTGTGTCATTGAGTATGTCAACTAGACTAGAGTTCTCTCAGTCTAATTGGTTTAAATGAATGGTGTTGTTTTGTTTAAAACAGAACAGGTATATACTCCTAGCTGTTGTTTAGGAAGATAGAACACACACAGCTGGTACAAGATGAGTTGTTTATCATCTCAACTGGGCCTGAGATTACAAACTAGACTTATGGTGGAATAGTTGTCCTTTTGTTTGAACAAGGCAAAAATGTTGATGTTGATGGTTGTCACATAAGTTGACATAACATGATTAATCAGTATTTGATTGGATAATATTGGTTGAATATGGGTAAATTTTGTTGCTGTTTTACTGTCAGACAGTTGATATTGTGTTGTCATGACAGGCACCTCTAGACACAAGTGTGGCATTCTAATGTATCACCTAAATGGAGATGATGACATGTATTAGATGGCTTTTAACGGGAGGTGACATGGCATCATGTGGTTACTTGGGACATAAATTAGAACTATCATGCTAGACACGATTTATGACCAATGGAGGAGAAAAGTAGCCAGTACATCAACATTTCTTTATTTCAGCCAGAGAGTAATTACATCTGTCAGGGCTAATTTTCAAATAATACATCCAACTCATTGCATAATTAGATTAGTTAAATTACCTAATTGGTGATTCAGCCAGCAGTAATGCAATAAAGTCATTAACATTCCAGAATTGTACCCAGACATGAACATAGGGCTGTTATTTCGAATTAAATTGACAAATTTACAATGGGAATGGGTATAGGCTATATAAAAAATGACCTCTAAAGCAAACCATCAGCTTGTTGTGAGGCTATGAGCTATATATGGTAGAGATTATTTTTATGTCAATAAAAAACGACTTACATGTAAGTTATCATAAAAATATATGTCTATATATTAGGCCATATTTAAAAACATTGTCAAAGAGAGTGTAGGGGTGTGGGCATAGGCAGGCTACGCTTCTACAAGGAGAGCCGCCCACCTTATTACGAATGCGGAAACTCGCGATTGGACCGCGGTTGCCTGCTATGAAATTTCGCCTCCTTAGTTAGATCTTTAGTATGTGAAATGAGCATGGTACTAGCTGTTGTGTGAACAGAGACAGTGGGACAGCCTGACCGTATCGTCTACGGGGATATTCTATTTACACTAGTCCTTGTTTATTATTTTCTGGTGATAACTGACTACTGATGATCTTTCTACTCCATTCCTCTTTTACAAGACTGGCGGAAGGAATTGTCCATTCTAAGGAAAGTATTTTGAAGGGACAGAAGATTGGATCAAGGAATGATGACATTTGAGATAATTCTTCTTCTGTAAAGACAATCATTTGAACTGATTCAGGAGACCCGTGCTACCGTTGGTATATTTGGATTAAAACAGACCGAGTACTTAACCTTGATTATTGATTTGTGCATCATACGATGTTTTCATAAATGCATTTCTACTTACAACAACACGTTCCCTGCCATCGCCCGAACTCTGCGCCGCCCCGATCCAGATGAACGATTCTCCCCGTGGATCTGACGCGCATTTACGCAGTCCGTCCCCGGAGCGCACCGGTAACGACAGTGGTAATTCACCTCGGAGAGGAACGAAAAGACAGCTGGTTTCCGTACCTTCTCCCTCAGATCCAACACGCCAGGCTAAAAGGCTGCCTATTCGGATTCTAAATATGTTGAGCGCACACAGTAGCATCTTGCTACACCAAGAGTATCTCCAACCTCTTACGTCTGCGCCAGTAAGCATTGAGGTAAGCAAAGCACATTTTCTAAAACTGTCGAATTCTTTGATCATCATCGACCGTGTTAATGTCTGGAATTATTTACAGATATTTATAAATATCCCATGTAGTTTAAGAGATTACGCATGAATTAGCCTACGCATCAAATTGTCACTAATGCGTCACATTACAATACAGTTTATATTTATTTTACCTTTCAAGTTTGCGCTTAGATAATACAAACATGACCCAATAAACTAGATTATGAAATTAATATTTAAAATGAGTAGCCTATTATTGAGTTTTTCTTGAGTTATTGAGATTACATAAATAGGCCAGTGTGTTGATTTGATATTCTCAGATATTGTGTGTAATTGTCTCTAAAATGTGTAAACAGAAATAGTTAAATCGTTTCCTTCGTTTTCGCCAAATAGAACAGATACTATTTACCCCGTGCCAACATTGCAGTCATACATTTTTCGCTCTTTCTCTCTTTCTGTTAAGGATTTTTCATATGGCAAACACAGGGAAATAAAACTTTTGAGCAGATTTATGTATCCTTCCCTCTGCGGATAGATATATGACTCATGGCCTAAATTATGACTAACATTTACAACGCATTTTACTGCACCTCATTTATTGGACATTTTATTTGGCCTATTAAATGATAGTGGCTAAAATAGATTTCTAGTGGACATACTATACACCAGCACAAACACTACATAATACTTACCGAATAGTTACTGAATTACCACAATAGTTACCAAATTACCATCCAATGTAAGACCAGTATAGAGTGTGACTATAGAGTGTTTTAATGTGGCTGGGTTATCATCCTGTCTCTGTGTGTGTCGCCCCCTCAGCTGGATGCTAAGAAGAGTCCCCTGGCCCTGTTGGCTCAGACCTGCTCACAGATCGGCAAACCAGACCCCCCCTCCTCATCCAAGCTGGGCTCCCTCTCCTCCGTCAGCCTCAGTGACAAGGAGCCATCCGGACGCTCCTCCAGCTCCGGCCACAAGTCTGGAGACCAGCACCAGTCCTTGGAGGATAAGTCCAGCTTCAAGCCTTACAACAAGGCCGGAGGGGAATGCCGCAAGGATGGGTTGTTGACCAAGGGTGCTACAGACAAAGCTGGCTTCAGGGTGCCCAGTGGTGGATCCGGGAGCGCCGGCTCTTGCCCGTCCTTCCCCCCACACTCCACCTCTCCCAGCTCCAGCTCCCCTCCCCTGCACCCCCAGGGCCAGTCCCACAGACAGACCCAGTCCCCCTCCACACAGCAGCAGACATCACACTCTCAGGCCCTGCACATAGACAACAAGCCTCTGAGCTCAGACCAGGCCAACTCAGACAGCAACAGCAGCACAGGGAAGAAAGACTCTGATCACAGCAAGGAGAGGCTGGACGGGGCCCAGCTAGCGAACTCCAGTCACATGCGGGCTAGCGCCAACTCCAGCAATGCCAGCTCCGCTAGCAGCCCGCGGCCGGAGAGCAAGGCTGACCCACAGTCCTCTCAGCCTGGGCTAGGCTCCGGACACATCGCCCCTGTCTCCCCCTTCAAACCAGGCCACTCAGTCTTCCCCATGCCCCCCTCCTCCATGGGCTACCATGGCTCCATAGTGGGCGCCTATGCAGGCTACCCATCTCAGTTCCTGGATCATACCAAGTCTAGTCTAGGGATGGGGATCCCAGGGAAGCACCCCAGCTCCAGCCCCCTCACTGGGGCCTCACCTCCATCCCTCATGCAGGCTCTATGCAGGGACCCGTACTGTCTGACTTACCCCAACCACCCCCATCTAGGGGGCAGCAACTGCAATACATGTGTCCACGACCCCTCCTCCCTAAAATCAGGTTACCAAATCATGTACCCATCACACCACCTTCACTCCCTCCACCCCAGCTCTCTATCCTCCACCACCCCCACCCTGTCCCACCCGCTCTACACCTACGGCTACATGCTGCAGAACGAGCCCCAGCCACACGCCTGTAACTGGGTGTCAGTAGGAGGGCCGTGTGACAAACGTTTCTCCACGTCAGAGGAGCTGCTGGCCCACCTGCGTACTCACACGTCTCTCCCTGGTGGGCTGGACAGTAAGCCCCTCTCTGCCTACCCCCCCTCAGCAGCCTCCTGCCACCTCCACCTTCCCCAGCCCGGCAGCCCCGGCACCCTGCCCAGCTCCTTCTCCCTGCGGGGGTCACCTGGCCTGAGCCTGGCCCGCTACCACCCCTACAGCAAGGCCCACCTGCCCGGAGCCCCAGGCCTGCCCATGCACTCACTGCAGGCGTCCTCGCCCTACTACTCCCCCTATGCCATCTACAGCCAGAGACTAGGCTCAGCCTCCACCCTGGGCTACCAGTGACATCTGAGGACACAGAGACAACAGAACAGGCACAAGCTGGACACCTCAGATATAAACAGTGGATGGATGGATAAGGCCCCGTCTGGACAGGAGGGGTCCTCGCCAGTCGCCAGAACAAGGGGGCCTTACCCTGCCTGGAATACCACCTGTTAGCCACAGGATTCTGAATGGCATTTCAATGGCAAGACCCAGTGGTGATGGCTGGCCAGCAGTACAGGCCCAGAGACATTCATGTGTGGGCCAGACACCTGCCTGGGAACAGAAAGGAGCTTGAATTTGATTGGATGAGATTGTGGGATTTCGATTGGTTTTTTATTTTAGATTGTTTTCTTTCGCTCCATCCCATGACTGAAAACATGTATTTATTTTTCACTTGAGCGCTTGGCATTCAAACTTGGGGGAAGTTTACTATCCAAATGAATTGTTCATAAGTATTCTAATTGAAAAAAATGATTTTAATTATATTATTATTATTATGCCTATCATACACTCTTTAAATAAAGTTTTGCACCATGGCAAAGATGGACTGTGTTTTTTTTTCTGGAGGAATAAGCCTACATTTGTTCTTTGCTTCTGTATCTTTCCATCTCTGCTGTTTTTTTCTTCTGCTATTCAGACTGATGGAAAATTGTATGTCACGACGATGAAAAGTCTTCTTGATAAATGGCCATTTATTTTGCATTTGTACATAAGCAAAGATGTAAACAATTTTCAAGTGGTATCGAGTCAGCCCGTTGGGGTTGCTAACTGTCATTGAAAGAGGATGATATTAATTCAAACAAAATAAAAACACTTAATGATGGCAGTGCTATCCATCTGACAGGGAAAGGTCTTATTTTGTTAAAAAAATTATACTTGATTGCATTAAAATTTTATTTAAATGCTTACATAGTGTCATAACTTGAAACTAGTTTTCATTATGGCTATAAGGGGGTAATTTATCTGTTTGCTAAATTTTACTAAATTAATTTAGTAAACAATTTAATTATTAAATGAATCATGTAATTTAGCTGTTGCACTGCTGATGTACTGCAGTTCTCTATGGATCAGTATAGTTGTAATTTAGTGATATGCTACAGCTATATGGATATGTGTAATAATTCAGAATAAATAACAACAGTTGACAGGATTTCACAGTGTCCCAGAGAAGGCAGATCAGGTGCGCTCACATTTAGCCAGTTTGCTTCTTTCTAAAGACCACTATCCCTCCTTCCTCTCCTTCTCCCTCTACCTCCACCACAATGTTGGGAGTGCAAGCCAGGGTTTAATTGCTGATGCTTGTTTGTTAGGGGGCCAGAATAGCCATCTCAGCAGCACTGTGGCTTGCTGGCTGTCTCTGAGTGGCCGCTGGGTCAGTGGGATTTCGATAATGACTGAAGGGATGCCGACCCTGGCTCCCCTCCATGTTTGACGGATGGCCCTGCTACACAAAGGCCAGGGCTGACAATGGGAGGTAGTTAATAGAGAAATATTAATCAAAGATCCTGACACCTTGTCTTCTCTAGAGAAGAGAAGCACAGCCTTTAAACCAGGCAACACAAACAACAAGCTGTGTCCCAAATGGCACCCTATTCCCTATGTAGTACAATACTTTTGACCAGAGCCCCCTGGTTCCTGGTCAAAAGTAGTGCACTATATAAAGACTAGGATGCCATTTGGGACAGATACCATGGCTCTCCCCTGGTGGGGAAAAGCATTTTGTAGGTTAATAAATACAATACTGTATTATGTATTATCGGAGGTCAGCTTTCTCTGTTTTAAGTATCTGTTAGATGCTAATATTCAGGGATTGAGAATGAAAGCCAATGTTACAACACCACAGTTCAGTAATTCCAGTGTTTTGTGTCTTGGTTAAATTAAATAATGGTTTATTTCTCTAGCCTAAATGGTCTGATAGTGTGGAGGATAGGAGGTTTATCCAGGAGTGAAGAGGCTAGTAGTCAGTCTCAGGGGTGGCTATTGACCCCGACTCCCCTAGCTAGAGAAGGACTCTCGGTTCATTAGCACTCCAGACAGATAAAGGGAGAGGCGAGCACAGGTGTCACTTGACAGGGCCATTAACAAAATAGATCACCCTCCCAAACCTCTGTGGGCTTGCCAGCTCCAGCCCTTCCAGCCCAGGAAGGTCACTCTGCCCTGAGAGCTGAGCAGGGGAACTCATCAGGAGGGAGGCCCAGCGGACACATTTTTCACCCCCAGAAACAAGCTAATGCCTGCAGACTGGGATGGGGAGGGTCTGCCACACATATGGCTTATCTGGGTTCTCTATCTGTTTTCAGGGTTGGATCAAAGGCTGGAATCAAAATGAGGACAGGGAAGTTGTTGTTTTGAGGTTGTACTGTAAATAAGAATACAGTTTATATTGAAGATATATTAAACTGCTAAAAGAGGGCCACTAAATGGGTCATATCCTAGTTTATGTTGCCACCTATGGGTCTGTGGTAGAAGTACAGATTATATATTTGACTCAGTATTGCATTATTACTCTTTGCCATGTTGTACGTAGCTATTGGCTTTGTATATCCATATCCCTGTGTAAATGTAGTAGTAAATGTCAGAGTTCAAAAAATGAAGTTAATGTCCCGCTAGAGGCTGGCACTGGCCCTTAAAAGAATGTTGTGAGAGATCAGCCTCACAGTAGTGTATTAGAGAGGGCCTAGAACCAGAGGTCAAACTGAGGATGAAACATTCAATCTTGTCAAGAGGGAGGAATTAATTCCGCTGTCACCCATTTACACTCGTTCATCAAATGCCTCACTATTCTTTCCATCTCAGTACTCTCTTCAGTCAAACTCTCCATCTATCTTTGTCCTCTCTCACTGCTCCAGCTGAGTCAACACCCAGATACTAAATTTCTGTCCCCTCTGCTCTGCAGGCTGGCTGGCTGGGTGAGGAGGGGGAGGCTGGAGGGGAGGAGGGCAGTTCATTTAGTTTCCAACTGCTGTTCTCACAGGAGGGCCCACACCTGAGATAGATTGATCTCCGTCCTGTCCCTCCATCCTGGGTGTGGTGGGGACAGACAGACAGAGGTTACATCTCAAATGGCAACATAGTGTCCCCTATATAGCGTACTACTTTTGACCATAGCTGTATGGACCCTGGTCAAAAGTAGTGCACTATAAATTGAATAGGGTACCATTTGGGACACAGAAGGAAGTGTCCCCTCTCTGTCACTCTCTCGGGCTGAGAGAGAGCTGTGCTACCATGCCTGCCTGGCTGCCCGGCTGGCTGGCTACGTGTCACTGTGGGGTCCTGGGCAGACAGCCGACAGCCCCAGTGATTAATGACGACAGGGTGTGGAGCTGCTCCTCAATTAGATGCCAAGTCCACACTGGCTCACCATACTGACAGCCACGACAGAGAGAGTGAGGAGGGGAGGGAGGGGGCATTTTCTCTCTCTCATACACACTCTTTCTATTTCTCTCTCTCTCTCTCCTTCTCTCTATTTCAATTCAAAGGGCTTCATTGGCATGGGAAACATACAGTGCCTTCGGAAAGTATTCAGACCCCTTGACTTTTTCCACATTTTGTTATGTTACAGCCTTATTCTAAAACTCAGCAATCTACACACAATACCCCATAATGACGAAGCGAAAACAGGTTTTTAGAAATGTTTGCAAATGTATTAAATATAAAAAGCAGAAATACCTTATTTACATAAGTATTCAGACCCTTTCCTATGAGACTCGAAATTGAGCTCAGGTGCATCCTGTTTGCATTGATTATCCTTGAGATGTTTCTACAACTTGATTGGAGTCCACCTGTGGTATATTCAATTGATTGGACATGATTTGGAAAGGCACACACCTGTCTATATAAGGTTCCACAGTTGACAGTGCATGTCAGAGAAAAAACCAAGCCATGAGGTCGAAGGAATTGTCCGTAGAGCTCCGAGACAGGATTGTGTCGAGGCACAGATCTGGGGAAGGTTACCAAAAAATGTCTGCAGCATTGAAGATCCCCAAGAACACAGTGGCCTCCATCATTCTTAAATGAAAGAAGCTTGGAACCACCAAGACTCTTCCTAGAGCTGGCCGCACAGCCAAACTGAGCAATCGGGGGAGAAGGGCCTTGGTCAGGGAGTTGACCAAGAACCTGATGGTCACTCTGACAGAGCTCTAGAGTTCCTCTGTGGAGATGGGAGAACCTTCCAGAAGGACATCCATCTCTGCAGCCCTCCACCAATCAGGCCTTTATGGTAGAGTGGCCAGACGGAAGCCACTCCTCAGTAAAAGGCACATGACAGCCCGCTTTGAGTTTGCCAAAAGGCACGTAAAGGACTCTCAGACCATGAGAAACAAGATTCTCCGGTCTGATGAAACCAAGATTGAACTCTTTGGCCTGAATGGCAAGCGTCACGTCTGGAGGAAACCTGGTACCATCCCTACGGTGAAGCATGGTGGTGGCAGCATCATGCTGTGGGGATGTTTTTCAGCGGCAGGGACTGGGAGACTAGTCAGGATCGAGGCAAAGATCAACAGAGCATAGTACAGAGAGATCCTTGATGAAAACCTGCTCCAGAGCATTCAGGACCTCAGACTTGGGCGAAGGTTCACCTTCCAACAGGACAACGACCCTAAGCACACAGCCAAGACAACGCAGGAGTGGCTTCGGGACAAGTCTCTGAATGTCCTTGAGTGGCTCAGCCAGAGCCCGGACTTGAACCCGATCGAACATCTCTGGAGAGCCCTGAAAATAGCTATGCAGCTACGCTCCCCATCCAACCTGACAGAGCTTGAGGATCTGCAGAGAAGAATAGGAGAAACTCCCCAAATACAGGTGTGCCAAGCTTGTAGCATCATATCCAAGAAGACTCGATGCTGTAATCGCTGCCAAAGGTGCTTCAACAAAGTATTGAGTAAAGGGTCTGAATGCTTATGTAAATGTAATATATTTTTTTATAAATTAGCAAAAATGTCTAAAAAACAGTTTTTGCTTTGTTATTATGGGGTATTGTGTGTAGATTGATGAGGGGGGGGAAAAACGTTTTAATCCATTTT